CCTCTGTCTTCCATTTCTTAGTTTTTGCTTGTTTTTATTTTTTCAGTGACAAATGATATTTCTTGCTCATAGGACTGTTCTTGAGTTAGGTATTTGAGTTTGCATGGCTCTAGTTACCTGCTTCTGTGCCTTTTGTGTGTTTTGTAGTTTTACCAAAACTTATGTATTGACTTGTTCAATTTCTGATTTCCAGTTACATTAGCAAAACTGGAGTTTGTAGCAAAACTGCAGATTATGAGGAATGATTTACGGTAGCCCCCTTCTGGCCCCAGACTGCATTGGGTTTTCCCTGTGTATTGGGTTTTAATAGGATTAACGAGGTGGTATTTTTATGGTTGCTTTCATTCAGAATCAGGCTTTTGAAATTAGGATGCAGGGGAGAGTTTTAAGAGTTGAAATTTCCGGAAGTTGCATTCCAAATGTTCTGTGTTCTGTGTTAAATGCATGTGTGTGTGTGTGTGTGGGGGGGTGTTTTCTAAGAAGCATAGGAACTGGCCCTCAAAGGATCTTTCTGTGATGCTCGAGTGAACTCCCACAGGACCCCTGTGCTGCAGGTAGAGAGGTCCTTTCCCCAGTCGGGTCGGCCGGCTGTATCACATACTGAACAGCGGAAGCACTGTACGACCTGGGATGAGCCACTCTTTGATTTCTTAGCTCCAACACCCTCGATTTGCTCCTTATACTAAATACGTCTGTGTCAGGCTCTGGTCAGGAATTTTTCTTCCCGGTTTTTCTTTCTGACCCCGTCCTGCTGGAGCCTCTCGTCTCTTGGCCCCCCCTTCTCCTGATCCGCTCCCGAGACCTGGTTAGGGACTCCCTTCTCTCTCACTTCTCTTGACCCAAACTTGGTATTTGTCTCATTCCAGTTTTTGTCTTCAGGACTTCCTTTGCATGAAAACAGTCTGAAATTAAATTGTGTACGCTATCATTTTCACCAGAAGGGCTGGCTAATTTAAAATTTGGGTGTGTTATCTTTTCTCTGCTGTGATTTTGAAGAATAATAGAGGCAGTGTCAGAAATCCTCCTCGGCTTTTCTCTAGTTTGGGTGGCAGTTGACCCTTTCTTTCCTACGCCTTAGGTGTGAGATGGTTCCTTATTGTTTTTACTTGGAAAGACGATATCAACAGTTCATTGTGTCTCTGGCATGAATTAAATGGACCAACCAGTATCCAAGAATATTTTTAACTTGGCTAACTGACTGTATTTTTTTTCCCCCTACTATCCGGAAGTTGGACTTAACCCTTCTGATGTTAAAGATTGTTCAGAGACCAAATGGCCATGGCAATTTTCCTTTGGGATGTCCCACTGTGAAATGGGGAGTCATAGCGACCTCATAGGGTAGTGGTGAATTTTAAAGAAGTTAACTTTGGTAAAGTCTCTAGCACAGTGCTTGGCACATAGTAGGGTGTGTTAATTTCTTTCCCTTCCCTGCAGGCCATTCACCTGCTCTTCCCTCTACGATTTTCCATAACACAGTTTTTACTTGGAACCAGCCTTCTGCCAAGAGTCTCAGTTTGGTTGTGTCCTCCTACAACTACTATTTTTGGCTTGACTTCCCTCTCCAGCTCCCAGTGGTCCAGCCACACAGTCGCCTATTGTACCAGCTGGTTGATGTAAGTCTATCCATCCTCAGAGGAACCCAGTTACTTACCAGTAAGCTGTGTTTCTCTGAAAATGTAGCATCCTTGATAAACCAATAGTTTTTTTTTTTCCTTCTTTACTTACCATTGATGATGAATCATCTGTAGTAACTTCCTTGTGTGATCCTCAAGTAGGAACTAGAATTGGAGAACTTTATTTGTTGATGTGTAGGTCTCCTAGTGAGTTCCTGAGTCCAGGACCCTTGACTGTGATCAGGTAAAATGCTTTGGAGACCCATGAGGTCAAAATCCTTTTCAGTATTCTGAGTGATATGAGACTTGATTACATAAACTGTCAAGGATGATACATTTTCAAAGAAAAAAAAGTTACTGGTAAGTAACTGGAATTTTTTGAGTAATTTTTCTGTTAAGTCAATAAATAAGAATTCCCAAACTTGTTTTACCAACAAATGCTTTTGCATTTGAATATTACTTCATAAATGAAAGGAATATGGTTATTAGTTAAGGTTAATAGTTAAGGAATGGGATCGGTTTCTAGACATAACTACATAGATCATGAGGTGTGGGTATAGGTCTTCAGTTTTCTAAGGAGGTGCTCCCTTAGCTTTAAAGGGAAATTGGAGCGAATCTCCATTAGGCAAAATTAGCAAATGCAGTCTGCTCATTCAGAAACATTTTTTGAGTGCCTACTCTTTTTTGAGACACTGTGCTGAGTATCATTGCGAGACAGAGAGGTAAAAACCACACTGTCTCAGCTGCTTTTGCTCTCAGAGAGCTGATTTCTGGCCCCTTGGTGACTGTAGGGCGCAGGATTAAGGTGACGGGGTCATGGTATGACAGCGTCGTGGGGTTGGAGGTGGTACTAAGTGCCACAGCCTTTGCCATCTTTTGTGCTTCTCGAAGTTCTTTCTGTTCAGGGGGAAACGTCAGCGGACCTCATTCAGTAGATTCAGAGTATTTTCTGCATCCTTAGAGCAAACAGATGAGGCAGAGCCAGCGTCCCTCCTGTCTAGTAGTAGAATCGAATATTAAGTCGTCTGACCTTAAGTATGACCTTGGGTTCAGACGCTGAGTAATGCAGGTGGATACATGAGAGTTGGAGAGGCAGCACGCTCTCCCTCACCCCCTGAGCTTTAAAGGAGGCTAATCTTGAGAGTTAAAGTCACAGTGTTAATTTACTTCCCCCAGGTGTAAAACAAAACCTCAAAACTCTAATTTTTTTTGGTAAGAAATTACAGTTACTGTGCACTTGAGATCACTGGACAGTGTATCGTACTTGATTCAGTAATTATAACCACTCCTTGCCCCAAAGCTTACCCAGTTAGGTAGGAGGAAGAGAGACGCCTTGGTAGTACCAGGAATAAGAGAAGGGCCTGGGGGAAGAGGCGCCCCTCCCGTGTGGCGCCCAGTGCACAGTTGTGCTTGTTCGTTGACCCCGGGAGCCGCTGCACGGCGGGAGCCTCGCACAGCCAGGAAGCTCTTGGGTGTTGGAGGCAGATTTCGGCTTCCTTCCCGGCTTGGTAACTTACTACCTTTCTGACTAGGCAAGTTACTGAACTTCTCTGAACCTCAGTCTCCTCGTTTGTGAGGTGGCGATGCTAAAGGCTGACACGAGGAGTGGTTAAGATATATATATAAAGCACTTAGCACAGTGCCTGCAACATAGTACGTGCTCAATAAATGTTAACTGCTAATATTATTGGATTATTGGACGGATGGATGAAGAATTGTATCAGAGGCCAAAGTGCGGAACAGGAGAAGATTGTGGCTCTGGAGTTTTAGTGAACTGTTCCCTACCTTCTCATTTACTTGAGCAGTGAGCTTTCTAGTGTTACAATCTTTGTCTTTGCCGTTTGGAAAGCAAATTAATGGATTAATCACTGTCACAGTTCTGTCTAACTACTCTGATCTCTAAACCGGCTTCCACCAGGAAGGAACTATTGTGCTGCAGTGACTGTGACCGACCATTGCACCATTATCCCCCTGGCCTGACGAGATGCTGAGGGCCAGGTGTGGCCTGTGCGCCAGAGATTTCACTGTGATTTCACCAAATCTAGCCCTGCTATTTTTAACACCTCTCAAATAGAAATGAAACATTTAATAATTATGTGTGTATACATAGGATTTTCCGTTTTGTTTACTACTTCTTTTTACTCGATTTTCACTGATTGTAGATCACAAATAGATGTCCAAGGGTATTTTTGAGAAGGTTCTTGGAAGCCTGATAATTGGGTAATGGTGCTCCTTAAGAAAAGGTGGATTCCTAGACAGGATAGAAGGTGCTGTGGTTAGTTGGGCACAGATTTTTACCGTATTTCATAGAATCAAAGATGCAAAATTTTGAACATTTTAACATCTGAAACTGGAATGCATCTTAGAATTGCTGTGATAAGAAAGCCTTATGTTACAGTTTAACTGGCAACATTATTTTCTTAGTGATACAGAAAGTAATGGAATGCCTTGAAATTGATGTCATCGTAGGTTGGATGAAATACGGTATTTCAAGAGAGTATATGCACTTACACGTTATAGAGATATGGTATCGTGGCAGTATGTGTAGTGGGGAAGAGAGCAGAGGCTCCAGAGTCAGATTCTCTTTCTGGGTTTAAATTCCAGCCCTGTCTAGTTAACGTATGGCTTACCTTATTTTTACCTGACTTTTCTCACCTGTAAAATGGGGGCTAAGAATTAGTCCCCATCTTACAGTGTTGTATTGAGGACAGAATATGATAAGACATGTGATGTGTTTAAAATAGTGCCTCGCACGTAGAAAGTGCCTGATAATATTAGCTGTTATTATTAATGTCGAGATTATACTTTTGCAGGATTGATAGCACTCTGTTTTGTTGTGATCGAAATTCAGATCTGTTCTTACCCTTCGTATTTGTTTTCCGTCCGGTAGTATCAGCAAATGATGCTTGGGGTTTTTTTTTTTGTTTTTGTTTTCGTTTTTAAGGGAAGATAAAAATAAGAAAGGTGAACCTAACAGTTTCCATATTCTTATTAAGTGAGATTTTTAAGAGGCATATTTGGTGTTATATGTTATTATTCCATGTGGTTGAGATGGAAAAGAAACTAAGCATCAAGCTAGGAAATTTATAGTGAAAGCGAGGAGCAGCTGACCTGAGGCTAACAAATACAGTTTTTGATTCTGATTGACGTTGGTAAGTATGGGAAGGGTTGGAGGCTTTTGGAAATTTGCCAAATCTGAAGCATTTTTGTCACCCTAAGTAAGAGTAAAAAGGAGAGAATCCTTCATGGTTTTAGGAACTTTGTTGTCTTAGGTAAAGGAATTTCCTTTTCAAAATGATTTAAGTGGGCAGTGTCTCTTTAGAATATGGCTGTAGTTTAAGGCTGTCCTTTTATTCTTATGAGTCAATTTTATTTTCTCTGTTGTAGTGTTCAGTGACCAGTGACTTGGATTTTCCAACGCAAATCATCCCATTAAAGACTCTGAATGCAGTCGCTTCAGTACCCATAATGTATTCTTGGTCTCCCCTACAGCAGAATTTTATGGTATGTAAATCATGTATCATCTGCTTATTTGATGATCATTTATTTTCAATAAAACAATTTTCTTGTCGAGGTGAATCAGGAATGATAATAAGTAAAAAAAGTTATCGAAATGAGAACACTTTGTGTTTTTTAATGGATAGATATATTTTAAGCCTTCACGGTGTTGTGGTTTTTCTAGTCTTTTCTAGTTAAAATATTCTCCAAAGGAAAAGTGTTGAGGAGAAATCATACCTGGGATTAAAAACGGTTAAAAGATGGACGCTTATAGTTCTTATCCTTGGGAAGGTCGGGCGGTATTCTGTAATTTCAGTATGATTTTGAAGTTTTGTTAATTGAGAACTTTATATTGAGAACAGTTTTAGGCAGCATGTTATTAAATGATACTGAACAGTATGAAATATTCTCAGGGCTTATAAAACACAAACTTAAGCATATTTCCACAGATAACACTGGCCCAGTAGCTTTTGTAAAGAAATGCTGGTGTTTAATTCTTCATAGACATAGGATGAAAGAGGATGGAACAAAAGAAATTTGAGTATGAATTCTTCACTTAGACTGTTAAATAAACAATAGTTTCATTATTTACTTGATACGTAAAATAGTAAGGAAAAGTACTGATACAAGTCCTTGGTGAGCCTACTTTAGGAATTGCTTACTAGGTTTTTAAATTTTTTTGTTTTTAAATTTTCTTTTTTTTAACATTTATTTTTGAGAGACAGAGTGTGAGCAGGGGAGGGGGGTAGAGAGAGAGGGAGACACAGAATTCAAAGCAGGTTCCACACTCTGAGCTGTTAGCATCAGAGCAGATCAGGGAACTTGAACCCATGGCTTCGACAGCATGTGTGACTTGAGCAGAGACAACCAACGAGCACCCTAGATGCCCTAATTTTTTGTTTTTAAAGTAGGCTTCATAGCCAAGGTGGAGCTTGAACTCACAACCCAGAGGTCAAGAGTCCCATGCTGTACCAACCGAGCCAGCCAGGCACCCTTAGATTTTTTTTTTTTTTTTAACATTTATTTATTTTTGAGACAGAGAGCATGAACAGGGGAGGGTCAGAGAAAAGAGGAGAACAAGAGCCGGTAGGCTCCAGGCTCGAGCGTCAGCACAGAGCCGGCCTGCGGGGCACGATCCCGAACGAGCGAGATCATGACCTGAGCCGAAGTCCGACGCTCAACCGACTGAGCCACCCAGGCGCCCCCCCTTTTTTTTTTAAATAGATGTTTCTAACGTCTTTAGTAACTTAAAGATTTTATAGTGGAAGATTAAAGACGAAGTTCAGATACTTTTCTATAATTGCTGAAACTTGTGTGTTTAAGGTCCTCTGCAAAAACATTTAGTTTAAGAATCCTATTGCAAGAGCTGAAGGGAGATTTCAGATATTCATAGACTGAAGTTCTGAAAGCAGATAGTATTTAAAGTCAAAATTATTTAGGGTTGCCCATGGGTTTGCTGGTTACTGACCGAGGCAAATTAGGCAGACCCTGTGGTTAGCATACGTTTGAGGGAGCAAAGGTTACATGGAATACAGTTGGGAAAACAAAATAGCAGTTTGTCACTTAATTGTGGCTTTTATCCAGAAAAACCCCTAATACTCCTAGTGCAAATGGGATTAGTGAAAGGTGGACTCTTGAGTTGTCTGTAAGTTTGGATCTGGATAGACCAGTACATTAAAATTTAAATCTTAATTTTTCTTATCCCCCTGTGTGCTTTCTCTCTCAATTTCCCTTTGCCCTATTTGTCTAAGATCCTGTTGTCTTTCTGAAGTCTGCGGTTGTCCTAAATTTGTTACCTGGGGATTATCTGAGATTTTCCCCTTCTGGTTTTTCCTGCCTGCTGCTACGTGACAGTCCAAGTGCCTGGTGGCCTTTTCCTGGTGTGTTCTTCCCCCTCCGTCTTGGTCCCAGCCCGCGGCACCACTCCCTGGCTGCCACCTCTTCCTGGCCCCTCAGCCAGTCCATTCTGTTGATCGGAGCTATCATTCTAAAATTCTGTTTTTAACCAATACCCGCCCCCCGCCACCCTTTGAAAGGCTTCTTAAGACAGCTCCGTCCTGCTTTGTTTAAATATGGACTTCAGAACCCTCTGGCCTTTAGAATTACTGTCTTTTTTATTCTTTATTGAAAATTCTCTTCCTCCCACACGTCTGCTTTCAGTCCCTGGTGTCCTGGAGTTCTCCCTTCTGCTTGAACTTTTTCTCAGATCAGTTCTTCCTTGCTAAGTTAGTGCCTTTTTCCCCCCTGTTGTCTTCCAGACCTTTATAGAAACTCCTCTGTCATCTTGATTAGCATTATACAGAGATTGTTTATCTCTGTATCAAAATATTTTATGTCATTGTAGAATGTTCTTATTTTACATATAAGAGTAAATCCTTTTGGCATAACCTTTATGATAATCTATTTTATATCCCCAGATTTTTATTATATTGAAGGTCTCCGAATAACTAGATCATTAAGTGAAGTTTGGAAATTCTTACCTTTTTTACTTTGTATGGCTATTTATAAGTGGTTTTAATAAGCTTTATTTTATCGATTCTAAGACTCTGGGTTTGCCTTAAAATTGATGGGTCACAGCGTAATGTGCGACACTTTTTCCTTTCTTGAGGTGCATAAAATAATGGTAAGTTTTAATGATTGATGACCTGTTAGATTAGGGAAATAGAGTATTTTCTCTTCAAATTTTTCCACTGTGAACAGTTTGTTTTCTCATATAATGCTTCTTGGTGGGAGGGGTCTTTTATTTTATTTTTTTTTATAGCTTTGAGTTTGTTGTTAGTTTAGATCTGGAGAACTGAGTAAAGACATCTACTTTAGAAATTGTATTTTACATTACATTGATTTTTAATTTTATTTTTAAAGTTTATTTATTTGGAGAGAGAGAACATGAGCACAAGCCGGGGAGGGGTAGAGAGAGAGAATCCCAAGCAGGCTCCGCGCCATTAGCGCAGAGCCCGATGTGGGGCTTGAACCCGCGAACCGCGAGATCAGGAGCTGAGATCAAGAGTAGGACACTTACCCTCCTGAGCCACCCAGTTGCCCCTACGTTGATTTAAAAAATATTTTGAGGGGCGCCTGGGTGGCGCAGTCGGTTAAGCGTCCGACTTCAGCCAGGTCACGATCTCGCGGTCCGTGAGTTCGAGCCCCGCGTCAGGCTCTGGGCTGATGGCTCAGAGCCTGGAGCCTGTTTCCGATTCTGTGTCTTCCTCTCTCTCTGCCCCTCCCCTGTTCATGCTCTGTCTCTCTCTGTCCCAAAAATAAATAAACGTTGAAAAAAAAAAATTAAAAAAAAAAAAATATTTTGATACTTAGGATAAGCCTGCTTTTAAAATATATTTTTTATTTTTAGGTGGAAGATGAAACGGTTTTACATAACATTCCTTATATGGGGGATGAAGTTTTAGACCAGGATGGGACTTTCATTGAAGAGCTAATAAAAAACTATGATGGAAAAGTACACGGGGATAGAGGTGAGCCATGTGTTTAATCTCTTGGAAAAAGGGGCCCAAAGCATTGAGAGAGATTCTGAATTTGTAAGCATAGGTGTGAACATGGGTTTTTTTTAATATTAAAAGTAAGTTTATTGCTGGATTGGCCTGGGCTTACCAGCCTAAAAATTGTAATGTTTTCCCTACTTTTAAATTGAAGAATCGTTTTTGCTAACTTGAAAATAATGCATAGTTGCTTATCTCATAAATTATAATGTCAGTAACACGTAAATTAGAATGGTTTGAGTGTATGTAGATTTTAAGATTCCTTCACAGTAAAATTAAGACCGGGGCTCTGCTTACGTGACACATGGGCTCCAGAAGGCCCTGTGCTCAGAAAGATGTCCCCCTTAGCTCCCGCAGTTCCTGCATTTCTGTCCCCGTGTTCACGGCTTCTGCGTTTGGTGTCCAGGGGATCCTGTCAGTGTCTGGCAGGAGGGTAGCATGTGTAACGTCGTCATGGTCCCTTCTCTTCTGGGGAAAGTGAGGGCTGTCAGCTGCGGTGTTGGGAGGAGGCCGAGGCCACAGTTCGTTTCTAGGGCATCAGGTTATAGTGGCAGGCACTGGAGACTTCTGGCGGGGGTTGGGGGGTGAGTAAAGAGAAGATGACAGGTGTTGAAGATGAATTCTTCCTGACTTTGCCTCAGGCCAGCCTTGAAGGTGATCTCCCTCCTCATTTGAACAGCAGTGTTCCAGTGCTAACAGGCTCTGGCTATTTCTTCCACGTTAGAAACGGCGTCAACTTGGCATTACCACCTTCCTCTGTATATTTCTGATACTTGACTTGATGAATTTCAGAATGCGGGTTTATAAATGATGAAATTTTTGTGGAGTTGGTGAATGCTCTTGGTCAGTACAATGATGATGATGATGATGATGATGGCGATGACCCCGATGAAAGAGAAGAAAAACAGAAAGATCTGGAGGAGAACAGAGATGGTAAGTTTCTTCATTAGGTTTGTGTGCAGTCCTGACAGCATCTTAGAGTGTCCTTTGTAACGTTTCATCCTGTACTTGAGTGTCTTTACTTCCTTTGCCTAACAAAAGAATGTACTGTTTGGGGGGATTTTGCAGGGTAGTTATCAGAATCGTCATTCCGATATATTGATCGTTGCACACAAGTAGTGTGCCAGTCACTTTACGTGCACCAGCGGTGGCTGTTGGCATCAGATCTATTATAGTCGAGGAGATGGGCTTAGTGCACTTAAGTAGCTTATTTAGTACGCTGTTGGAGGAAGAAACAGAACCCAGAACCCTGTGCTGGTCACCCCTCTGAATGGCTCGAGAGCCCTGCTTTTGAGCCCTATGCTAGTTACGGCTTCTCAGACAGAGCGGCCCGATCCAGAGTCCATAGTCAGCGGAGACTTGGCAGAGCTCATCGGTAAACAGCACAGAAGAGCGTGGGGGAGAAACTGCAATTTCAAAGAAAGGAAATGTTTTTGGGACGGGCCGCGGTCATGTAGTTCATATCCTTGAGTTTACAAAGAAGAATCAGACCCCAGTGGGTAGGTGACCAGGCAAGAAGGTCACAGACCCAGTCAGTAGCCGAGCTGGGATTAGCCCCTGGGGCTTCTCCCTCCTGGTGCACCTGAAACTTCCCATATTTGATTTTAAGTGTTTTGTTCGTCCGGCCTACCGACACTCCATGCAGACATGTGACATATGTCAGAAGTAAGTGAAACACAGAGTTGATAATTTTCGTAGAAAATTAGCTTTGTTAGATGTAGTTGTGTGGAGGAAATGCAAGATTGAAAGACTTGCTTTTCTTTCATCTTTTTTCCCTTTCTTATTTCCTGATACAGACAAAGAAAGCCGCCCGCCTCGGAAATTTCCTTCCGATAAAATTTTTGAAGCCATTTCTTCAATGTTTCCAGATAAGGGCACAGCAGAAGAACTAAAGGAAAAGTAAGATTTGCTCTTTTGAGGCAGTCTTGCCTTGTATGGTGTGTAGCTCAGCGTTTTGGTTTATCAGAAGTAGGACTCACGGAGCCGACGGCCCCCCGCGCTTCCTGTGTTCATGGTGCTGCGGGGTTCTCGACACCACGTACGTGAGGTGCTTCCCTGCACGGCGCTTACCGTGGTGCCAGTAAACACACGCGTGATTTCCGGTAGCGCTTGGAGAGGAGAACTTCTCTGGACACTTATAGAAATGTCAGTGTAGTTGATGTTTATTTTAATTAATGTGGTAACATTTTTCATGATCTGAATCCCATCCCTGAACTTGATTCTTTTTTATGTATTATTTTGAGAGAGAGAGAGAGAGCACAAGTTGGGGATGGGGGGAGAGAAGGAGAGACAGAATCCCAAGTATGGAGCCCAATGGAGGGACTCGAACCCACAAACTGAGATCATGACCTGAGCCAAGATCAGGAGTCGGACGCTTAACTGACTGCGCCTTGATTCTTGATATACCGGACAGAATGTTTAATTGGCTCTTCATCTAAATAAGGATGGTTTTAGGTCAGACCTTTTCCTTGTGTGTGGCCGAGGCACGATGAACATCACAGATGCTATAGGGGACCTTTCAGAAACTTTATTTTCAGAGAAGGAGTTGTGGCCGTGCCCTCACCTCCCTTTTCCCTGGTCGCCGTCAGGTATAAAGAACTGACCGAGCAGCAGCTCCCGGGCGCACTTCCTCCTGAGTGCACCCCGAACATCGACGGGCCGAACGCCAAGTCCGTGCAGAGGGAGCAGAGCCTGCACTCTTTCCACACGCTCTTCTGCAGGCGGTGCTTCAAGTATGACTGCTTCCTGCACCGTAAGTGCGGCCGCCGCGTGCCCTCGTTGGGGTCTGTTGTGGGTCCCGTTGTCCAGCGCCGGGAAGTGGTGTCCTTGATCGCAGCTAGAATTGATCATTTCGCCTGGCGGTTAAGATGGAGAACTATGCTAGGATCAGAGGACCGTTGTTTTGCAATTTGTTGCTTGACGGTTGCTGTGGAGTCTTTGACTTGGGCCACCCGGCTCCCACTAACGTGGAATACGGATCAGTGGTGTTCCCATAAAGGCTCACCTAGCACTTGTTTGTAGCGAAGCTGTGACCGTGAACCATCTCAGAGCCTAGAGCAGCACTGCCGTATGGTTGAACGCATTTTGTTGAATAAGAAATGGGCTAAAAAGATGTTTGTAGGTATTTTTGTCTGTTTAGTGTTCCTTTGTTTTTTTTTTTGGTTCTCTGAGTAAGTTTCTTTTAAAAATATCTGCAGTTGACAGGCGCCTGGGTGGCTCAGTCGGTTAAGCATGCAACTTGGGCTCAGTTCACGATCCCATGGTTCATGAATTTGAGCCCCTGCACCGGGCTTTCTGTTGTCAGCGGGAAGCCTGCTTTGGATCCTCTGTCGCCTTCTCTCTCTGCCCCATACCCACTTGTTCCCTCTTTCTCTCTCTCTTTACAATGATTTTTTAATTAAAAAAATATGTATTATTTAATGTTTTATTTTTTGAGAGAGTGAGCATAAGGGGCAGAGAGAAAGAGAGAGAGAGAGAAAGCGATCTGAAGCAGGCTTTGTGCTGACAGGCTGACAACAGCAAGTCCGATTTGGGCTTGAACTCACGAACCTTGAGATCGTGACCTGAGGTGAAGTCGGTCGCTCAACCGACTGAGCTACCCAGGTGCCCCTCATTTTTTTATTTTTTAAAGATTTTATTATTATTTAGAGTGAGAGAGAGGATATGAGCTGGGGGGAGAGGGAGAATCTGAAGCAGGCTCCACGCTCAGAGTGGAGCCCAGTGTGGGGCTCGATCCCACCACTCTGGGATCATGACCTAAGCTGAAATCAAGAGTCAGATGCTCGGCCGACTCAGCCACCTAGACGCCCCAAAGATTGTATTTTTTAAGTAATCTCTACCCCCTGTGTGGGGCTTGAACTCCTGACCCTGAGATCAAGAGTCGCAAGCTCCACCGACTGAACCAGGCATCCCTACACCCAGTTGGTTTATAAAGTTGTGCCCAGTTCTTAAGAATATTATGAGTTGCATCCAAGTGTCACCATAGCGAATGGTCGCGTGGAAGGCTCTACGTGGAAGTCAGTGAAATGGTCCGTCCAGTTTGTAGACGTAGCATTCTCGTACCTTCCTTGTGCAAATGAATCAGGAAGTGGATGCTGCTTCTGAACATGATCACATGAGTTATTGTGGTCTTCAGATTTGAGTAATAGTGATGAACCTTGAACCTGATCAGTCCCTCCTCCGTCAGGGGGGGGACATTGACTAGTGAGCTTCGCTCCGGTGGGAGGCGGGGCTGCCCACCCGTGGCACGTGGAGCGGCGGGGTCCACAGCTGCTGCGCCCCTTGCTTCCTCGTTCACTAGGGCCGGTCTCTTTGGGATTCCGCCTTGACGGATCGTGTAGGGATTCACTGCTTTCCATCAACTTCAGCAGAATCTCACAGACTGTAAATGTTTTGTAGGCAAAATGAACCAGTAAATACATTGTTAGATACACGTTAGCTATAGCATTTTGTGCCTTAAGTTTTTTTCTCTCTGATAGAATAACATAGTGCTTCATAAGCTGTTGTGAAGATTAATTTTATTATTATGTGTAAAATACTTAAACAGTACTTGGCTTGTTTTTATTGTTATTTTTTTAAACAGGTCGTCATTTACATGACCTACACTTCAGAAATGTATTAAAAGGTGTCCAGTGAATTCTCCCTGCCACCTCTGCCTCCGTGCGTAGCGTTTGTACCTCACTCCTTAAACCACTAACATCAGTTCTTCTGTATCTTTCTGGAGTATCTTCCGGCAAAATGCAAAGATGTTCTTTTCCCGACTGTCCTTCTCACAAGGTGCCATACTAGTGAGGCTTCTCCCTGTTTTGACTTCATGGTGTAGACGCTCTTCCTGTCTGGAGAGCTGCGTAGCCTTCTGTCAAAGGAGGCAGCGGAACCCTGCACTTGGATCGAGTTGCGCCTTTCGTTCCCACGGTGCTGTGGTGAATGACCTTGGCTGTACCTGCACAGCATTTGCCATAAGTGCAAGTTAAGCTGGTCCGTGTATTGACTTCACTCTTTTGCATTTAACTCTTTGATCCTTTGGAAGCAAGTGATTCTGATAGAGTTTTGGATCCACTTCTCCCCACCTCCAAGGCTGCCTAGTCGTTTTCCATGTCACTTACTGGAAAGTTCCCTCTTCACTGCTGTGCCGCCCTCCTTGCCTGTTACCACGTGTGCTTGGGTCTTTTTCTTTGTGTTCTCTTCCAGGAGGCTTTATTCAGAGATCTCCTGCCTATTCTTTCTTGTTTTTTTAATGTAAATTTTAGAATCAGTTTGTTTAATTAAAAAAAAAAAGTCTAGGTAGTATGTTTATTGGAATTCCATTAAATGTATAAATTACTTACGGGGAAATTGACATTTTAAAATGAGGATTAAGTGTAACCATATGATCAAGTTTCCTTTTGTGTCCTTTAGTAACCTTGAACTTTCTTCACGTAGTTCTTGTACATTCTTTTGTAAGATGAGTTCTAGGTATTAATGGGTTGTTGCTGGGCTTTTTCTCTTTAAATGTTACATGTTTAATACCTTGATACCTTACTGAATTGTCCTTGTTGATAATAATTTCTCAGTGGATTCTTTGTTGAGTTTTCTAGTTCTGTAGGTAGACTATCGGCAATTACTGAGATTCTCTGTCTTTATGACTTTAATTTCTTTCCTTGTCTAATTACATTGGCTGATATCTTCAGTACGGTGTTAAATAACAGTGGTACTAGCAGATACGTTTTCTATCACTTCTGGATCAGTTTTGAAAAGTTACCTATTTCACCCAAGTTTTGAAATTTATTTGGATAAAGTTGACCTGAGTGCTCCAGTGATTTTTTTTCCTGCTTATTAAATGTTTCGTTCTCCCATTTTTCTTGATGAGCTTAAGTGGTTTCTGTATTTTGTTTTAAAAATCTGTTTCCTATATTTTTCCCTCAGAATCAGCTACTGTATTAGTTTTACTGTGTTTCTCTTTATGAGTCAGATTTTTGCATTGTTTTCATTCTTCCCTCTTTTTTGGATATATGTGGTTAACATACAATGAATCGTCTCTAGAGCACTGTTTCAGCCTCTTTTAGGTTCTGTTGTTTATTATTATTCTTCAGGAATTTTAAGGAACGTTTCAGGTTTTCTTTTTAACTCGTTGTCTAAGGGGGAGTTTTTAAACTTCTGGGGAGAAGGGCCTTTTTGAACGTTCTCTGTTTTAATTATTTGTGTGGTAGCCTCACTGATACCTGGTCTCACCTGTTACTTAGATGTCAGGGTGTCTACCATGGCTGGTCTGTAAGGAAGAAGTTTCGACGGTTAGGGATTTGCAGTTCATCCGAGCCAGAAGCTGAGTATCTGTCTGACTATGGTCTTTTTTCTTAGACTTACATGTTCAAAGGAACCTTGAAGGATAAATGGTTTTGGTTTGGGAACAAATTCCACTTTGTATTCCAAATAACTTTTAGACCATGATCCATTTTGTAAATTGGAAACGGGTTGTTCTGCAAACTTGGGAGTCCTGTAATTCCTTTCTTGCTTGCTTTTTTTTCAAAGTTTATTTATTTTTGCGAGAGAGTGCATGCGAGTGGGGCAAGGGCAGAGAGCGAGGGAGAGAGAGAAGGCTCAGTCCCACAAACCATGAGATTGTGACCTGAGCCGAAATCAAGAGTTGATTGAGCCACCCAGGCGCCCCGATGTAAATTCTTTATAAAAGTTTCAGCCTAAAATTGGCTGCCTAGTCTGTCTTTGACGCTTGTTAGAGGAACCAGGGTCAGCTCCTGAATTGATAGTGGTGGGTCTAAAGAGGTAACACATTTTTGATAGGGAGGGAAGGAAGGCAGGCTGAGAAATTAAGGTTGGGAAATTTTATGTGCTTACATAGGATCGAAAGTAGAACCCTGGAATAAATGTTTTGTTGGGTTTTCTATTATCTGAGTGGCCTACAGAGGAATCCATTTTAAGTATAAAACCCGTTTGTCATTTTTGATATTATGTAAGTCTATTTTTGGAATGTGTATTAATGCTAATTGTAGAGCTTTTAACATTTTTAATGGTTAGAATTTCAGAAACAGTGTTCCAAAGTTTGTAGCTGATGGTTGACTTTTTTTTTTTTTAGTTTTCAGATGTGTAATGATTAAAATTGAGACATATGGAGTTCATATTTGCCATGTAATTAACAGAGTGACTTAACCTCCCTACGTCTTGATTTTCCTCACCTATAAATGGGGGTGAGGATCCTAACGCCTGCATGATTTTGTGGGTGATTCAGTGAGGTCATGCCTGGAGCCTCTTCCTGTGTGCTTTGAACACAGAAACTTTTCTTGTTGGCTCCCGTCACTGCCTGCTGTTACTACTGTCCTATGCTCTGAGCATTGACACAGTCATTTTGTAAGATACTTAATAGTCTGAGATCTCTGATGTACAGAGAATTTATAGGATTACAACTATTAAGTATGTATGTTCAGTAAGAATTCTTAATACCAGGTTCTAATCGGAGCAGACAAGATCAGTACTTTGGGCAGAAGTTAATGTATAAACTTGACACTGTGTACTTCCCTGTGATCATTTATTTTGTCATAATTGTCACATGACAATGAGCTAAAGTATTTGAGAAGTGTTGTATGTTACCGGGAGGGGAGGTGGCTCTTCCTGCACGTGGCGAAGCATGCTGGGTGCGGGTCTTGGCACCCCTGCCGCCAGCTAACCAGCTACTCAGATGATCTCTTTAGTCCTGTTTCCTAATCTGTAAAATCACCACTGGAAGTAGGTGACTGCGAAGGTTCGCTCCAGCTCTGTAATCCTTGGATTCCCCAGTTCTGTATTTGAGGCATCAATATTTGGTGAAACGTTAGAAGATTCTGAGGGGCTACTTAGTATTTGCAGCCGTTTTTTAGAATCGCCAGTTTACTCAAATACAGGTATTGGAACTGGATATGTAACCGTCTTCTTACCTTTGCTCGAAAACCGTAAGGTAAGATTTTTCATCAAGATTTTATAGGTTGCTTTTGAAAAAAACAAAACCAAAAAGCCCTCCACGTTCTTTGCTCTCTCCTTTCTGTCAAGTTTTAGAAAAAGTGCCCTGCTTGAATTTTCTTTTAACAATTTTCTTGATCAGGTTATTTTATGTAAAAATTCCCCTCAGAATCTTTATGAAAAGATTCCCCTCAGATTATATTTAGCTTGAAATATATTTTAATAACTTAGTTGAAATATTAGTACTTTAAGACACCTATGTGAGAATATTAAAGTACTCTGAAAATCTAAAATAGTCCAGACATTTCTGGAAGAGGGAATTCTTTGTATCCTTAGTTTTCTTAAACAATTGAAGTTTGAAATTCTGCTGAGGGAAGGCTAACAATGAGAATAGTTCTCTTTTTTGAGCTAAATGCAATGTGAAATTAACAGTGGTACTTCAAGCAATTTTTAAAGTGCCTTTTATCATCAATGTGTTAATTTTTCTTTTAGAGCTGAAACTTGACTCGTGAGTGTCCGTTGCTTTTTTCTGGGCCTCTGCGGCATCTCTGGGCCTCTGCGGCCACTGTCTTCACTTGCGCACGTGTCTTATGTTTCTCACTGATTCAGGTGAAATCGAGAACTTCGGTCTTTAAGCAGAGGAGACATCCAGATTAAAAACGAATTTTACCAAAAATATATCACTCAGTATGTGCTGCTGATGTGGCCTTGACCTTCCGTAGGCTCCGACTTTGTATTTTAGGGGTCCTCAACTGTTCAAAAATGTAATCCAGTGCTAAATTAGTCATGGTATTGGTCTCTTCATTCCAGGGAAATCAAACTCACTTGAAACAGAATTTGAGCCTTGAATTTCTATTTCAAGACCAACATCACTTTGTGTCTTTGTTTTCTTGATTTCCTCATCAGTCAGTTCATCTATCCCATTTAAGTTCTATGGATAGAAGTATGGCTTTTTACAGATGTTTTTTAAATGGTTCGTTTCATGAATATGTCACTTGTTTTTGTCCAAATTAGATAGTTTTCGTCTTGTAATTCTGAACAGGGCATTTGTAGCATTTGCCTTGGTAGCTGGGACAGGCTTTCTCGAAGGTTTCTCCCAACTTCTCACTGCTGTGCATTCATGCTTCATTAGTTTGTCACTCTGCTATACTTTGAATCTTTTTGTTGTCAGGTTATTTGGGGATTTTAAGTTTCAAACACTTTTGTTTCTAGAACCTGTTTTGTGTGACCACGTATTTCCTATAGAAGGGCGCTGACCGCAAGCCGTCTCTAGGTTCTTGAATTGTGTCTGATCCAAAGCAATGGAGTTTCAGTAGGCTGAGGGTGTCCTCTTTATTTCTTATTACTTAAAAAAAATTTTTTTTTAAGTTTATTTTGAGAGGGGTGAAGGGCAGAGAGAGTCTGAAGCAGGCTCCCCGCTGTCAGTGCAGAGTCCGAAACGGGGCTCCATCCCGCACACTGAGATCATGACCTGAGCCGAAACCGAGAGTTGCTTAACTGACTGAGCCACCCAGGTGCCCTGTCTTCTTTATTTATATTTTTAAAATTTTTTTGTAAAAAAATTTTTTTAACATTTATTTTTGAGAGAGAGCGCGCGCACACGCGCGCACGTGTGGGTGGAGGAGGGCAGAGAGAGAGAGGGAGACCCAGAATCTGAAGCGGGCTCCAGGTTCTGAGCTGTAGCACAGAGCCTGATGTGGGGCTCGAACCCACAAACCATGAGATCGTGACCTGAAATGAAGTCAGATGCTTAACTGACTGAGCCACCCAGGTGTCCCACCACCCCCCCCCCCCCCCCCCCCCCCCAGCTGCCATCCTCTTTATTTTTAAAAACTAGTTTTAAACAAGTGCTGTCCCATTCTTGTCCCATTTGACAAGCTGGTTACTGACCTTTATTTAGAAATCAAGAAATTGTAGATGCCAGAAATCTTGGGTAAAAATAGGAAACCTGATTTCATCGTAGAAGGGATATATCCGTTGTTTCTAATTAAAGACTCAAATGTTCGTGATCTGAGTTGAGAGTTTTATGTGCATCAATTACACTTGCAAGGAGAAAAGGAGGAAATCCCTAATCATTCCAGAATTTACTGTTTCCTCCCTGGTTAGGGGCTGGTGGGGAGGAGTGGTGGTTGTTTCAGGGGAGAGTTGAGGAGAGTACAATGAGATGATTCAGTTTAGGAAGAGCTCGAAGGAAAGTTCTGTAATGTAAAGCACACGTTGGCAAGGTTGTAATGTACCAATTGTTTCCACTGAAACTGGAAACGACGCGTAAATATAGTTATATTTGGGTATTTTATGTTTATTTTGCAGCTTTTCATGCAACACCCAACACTTATAAGCGGAAGAACACAGAAACGGCTCTAGACAACAAGCCGTGTGGACCACAGTGTTACCAGCACTTGGTAAGCCTGAGGGCTGCACGCTCGGAAGGCACTCGCGGAGTGTCCCCACCGAACGGTGGTGAGGTCTGTGGAGCCAGCGCTGACATGACACTCTTGCTCCTGTACCTCGGCCGTGTGGGGGGCAGGGACTCTCTCCCTTGCCCAAGTTGCTTTCCTCGCGGTTACACACTGCACAGTCTAGTCCTTCGTTCACTCGTTTCATTGGTTTCTCTGCGTTAATCTTTTCAGCAACCTTGCGAGGTTGTTAGGAGCAGGACTCTTCCGCCCGCCACAGGGTTTGTGAGCGTGAGAAGCACAGGTAGCCCCTTCAGCCCCAGAAGCTCGGTAATTGTACGGGGTAGTTCCGGAGCCTTCCTCAGAGTTACAGACCCATGGTGGTTGGAGTGAGGTGATAGGGCCCACAGATTTTTTTTTTTTTTTTTTTTTTTTTTTTTTAAATGATGAAGAAAAGATAAGGGTTTAGGAAGAGGTAGAAAAGTGTTTTATGGGCACTATCTTATTTTTACCATTTCCCCTCTTTGAACCAAGCCACTCCTACCTAGGAACTAAATGGGTATATATTGCCTGTTGGATTTTGGACAGAAGATTCATTGAATGGCACCTGCAGAAGGTATCCTTCCTATTTTTAAGCATTTTGGTTTTTGTAGAATGAAGTGTAAAACTGTTGGCTGCTCTCAAACTTCTCCCTTCTCCTGCCACTGTAAACACGGAGTTCTTGAGCACAGTTTTATAATGCTCTGTGCCAGGCCGAATTTTACTGGGCTCCTCTAAGATGTTTCTGTGGTCTGTATAATCCGTGATCTTACCGTTGGCACATATTCTCCGAGACCGGGTTACTGGACTTGTTGATGTGGAAGTGTGCTGCTTTCACGATTTTGGGGGGCTGGGCATCCCAGGAAAAAGGGGGATGTTCTTTTTAATAGTAAGGCAGGATGGGACAAAGCCCAGCATGCTTATGTGATTCGTGTTCTTCTGGTATTCTTTAAATATCACCAGAGACGTTCTTAAACCCTGAAATAGGAAAGTCTGAAATGCACGGAATGTGATGCTTCTCACGAATGTTCGTGTTTAAAGAGACTCACCTATTTTTTATATTTTGTTATAATCAGTTAATATGGTTCACAAGTTCACACAGAATTGTCGTGCCTGGTTTCGTACCCCTGTAGCACAAAGAGCACCTAGATCGATCTTTCGGTAATTTTCAAACTGTCAAAAGCAGATAGAAAACCAGGATGTGCAAATGATTATTGGTAAAAGTGGGTACCATGAGAATTTACTGACGACCTGCTTGGTGCAGTTCTTTTTCTCTCATGCAACAAAACAAGTTGGAGAACTTGACCTTGATGTCTACGTCCTTGACTTTATAGGAGGGAGCAAAGGAGTTTGCCGCTGCCCTCACCGCCGAGCGGATAAAGACGCCGCCGAAGCGGCCCGGAGGCCGCAGGAGAGGACGGCTCCCCAACAACAGCAGGCCCAGCACCCCCACCATTAACGTGCTGGAATCGAAAGACACAGACAGCGACCGGGAAGCGGGGACGGAGACGGGCGGGGAGAACAACGATAAAGAGGAGGAGGAGAAAAAAGACGAGACTTCCAGTTCCTCGGGTGAGACGCGGGTGACCACTAGGAGACGGATCGAGTGCTTCTCTTAGTGGGCTAGTCGTCAGCACACTGACAACTCTCAGACCGGGGGACTCCGTTCAGGGTGTGGAGCTGGCTTCTTGCCGCCCCTGCCCGCACCCCGGCCTGCGGAGACCGCTGCCCGCGTGCTGGGGAGGTGGAGGGTCCGGCGTGTGGTCACGTTCCGTGTCGCGTTCCTTTCTCATTCGGTGTAGTGGTGTTGACGTTCCGTGCGAGGTTTCTGTGCTTTCGGCCCTGTCACTTACCCGAGTGACAACAGGTTTCATTTTATTTATTATTACCTTTTTGAGTGAGCTCTATGCCCAGGGTGGGGCGTGTGAACCCGTAACCCTGAGATCAAGAGTCTCCTGCTCTATTGGCCGAGCCAGCCAGGCGCCCCTCAGCTTGCATTTAGAATGTTGTGTTAAAGGGGACCCAGCCTTGTGTTCCGTGGGAGGCTTAGTGACTGTTTCCAGCCTTCTCAAGATGATTCTCTTCCTGCTTTTGTCCTAAGCACAACCCTGAGTTTTCTTTCTCTCTTCCTCCCTCCCTCCTTCCCTTCCTTGTTTATTTGGAGAGAGAGAGAATGCAGAGAGGCTCAGAGAGGGAGGGAGGGAGAGAATCCCAAGCAGGCTCCACGCTGTCAGTGCCAAGCCTGACGTGGGGATCGATCCCACGAACTGTGAGGTCATGACCTGAGCCCAGATCAGGAGTCAGACGCTGAACCCACTGGGCCACCCAGGTGCCCCCGGTTGTCATTTTGTGACCAGGGGGTAATTTCGGTTTTCTAGAAGCGAATTCTCGATGTCAAACGCCAATAAAGATGAAGCCAAATATCGAGCCTCCCGAAAACGTGGAGTGGAGTGGTGCCGAGGCCTCGATGTTCAGGGTCCTCATTGGCACGTATTATGACAATTTCTGTGCCATTGCCAGGCTCATCGGGACCAAAACTTGTAGGCAGGTAAGTATATCTGGTAAAACACTGTTCAAGAACTTCAGAGGGAAAACAGGCAGTCCCTGTCCAAACAGAAGAACGTTCTTGGTTATTCTTAAGCTCCTGTTCGTCTCCCAAAAAGCATGTTGATCTTTTTTCCACTGAGCGGGAACTGACGGAAAATGATTCTTCCGACTTTAGATCTCTCAGGGCTGGTCTAAAGGGCCAGGAAGACTAGGTGGTGAGCCTTGCGACTCTCGGTCAGAGTGTGGGTTGGGTCAGTGTCTTTTTGACTTTCCACTCTGTCCCACCGCCTGGCAGCTGCTGGCGGTGGGGAAGGGGAGAGGGTAACACTGGTTTGACTGAACACACGGTCCTCGTGGCCCCGTGGCTGTGCCTCTTGCCAGGTGTATGAGTTCCGTGTCAAAGAATCCAGCATCATAGCTCCTGTGCCGGCCGAGGATGTGGACACCCCTCCAAGGAAGAAGAAGAGGAAA